TAAAACACGGTGAATTAGAATTAAAACACGGTGAATTAGAATTAAAACACGGTGAATTAGAATTAAAACACGGTGAATTAGAATTAAAACACGGTGAATTAGAATTAAAACACGGTGAATTAGAATTAAAACAGTGAATTAGAATTAAAACACGTTGAATTAGAATTAAAACAGTGAATTAGAATTAAAACACGGTGAATTAGAATTGAAACACGGTGAATTAGAATTAAAACACGGTGAATTGGAGAGACTTGGTCTTATTTTACTAACAACAACAAATGATAGATTTGATGGTTAGCGTCACACGTGTGCAGCTTTTTGATGCCTTCTTTCTCTGTACGTCTTTTACATTGAAGTTCTCCTGCAGGCTGAGCTTTTATTTTGTGGACTCTGTTTTTATTTGTGGCAGGTCAGGAGGAGGCGTACGAGGTGAGGAAGAGGAGGCTCCTCAGGGGGAAGTCGGTGCCTCACTACGCAGCCGTGGAGCCTCGGGGGAAGGGGCTGATGGTGGCCTCGGAGAAGCCTTTCGTCTTCACGCACGTGGACGGGCGTCCCGTGGAGCAGCCGGAGCCTATGGAGGTGGAGGCCACAGGTGAGCCGCCGGGGCTGATGGGAAAACCTTTACTCTGCCAGAGACGGTGTTCAGAGGTTTCCACCACTGTTCTGACTAATTCTTTTTACAACTCAATGATGATATTAAACCTGACAAACAGGTGTTTTTTACGAAACATCAGCATTGTTCATTTATAAACTTTCATTTGCTCATTTGTTGTTAAATAACCAAAAAGTGTAGAATTCAGCCAGTTTGACAGACGTTGCTGAAACTTGGTGTGGTAGTAGCTGAGAGTCGTCCCTAACACCCAGTCTGGGCTCAGGTTGAGCACGGCGAGCGCTCCACCGTCTGTAATTCAGACGTTGTGAGTCGCTGAAGGCTCGTTTCCTGCAGACCGGAGGGTTTGGATCGTCTCACCGACAGCTTCTGACTCGTTTCTTCGAGCAGGTCGTCTCCGCTTGTTGAGTCACTTCATTCTAATCATTGTTTATTGTTGTTGTTTATTGTTGCACTCCTCCGCTGATGAGCCCACCTCCATCTGTCTCCTCTTGATACTTTCCTGACGGCTCAAAGATTTGCTGCTTTTGTAGAAGCTGCAGGCTGCTGCTGGTTGTTGCCATGGAAACGGCTGAGTGGGCGCCACAGAAGGATGACAGATCTGGATCTGGGTCCACAGGTCCAGATCTGGGTCGTGCTTTCCTGTTTTTACTGTGGGGAACAGTGAGATCTCTGTTGAGGCCCACATCTGGATAAGTTAAAGGTTTAATTTAAATTGTTTTAATTTGAAAATCCAGAGTCGTCCTGCTCATCAGGCTGCTGATCTGTGAACAAAACAAGATGCAGGTAAACCAGAGGATCCTTTAGTGTTTAACTGTAAGGAGCTTCAGCAGTAGTCATCTTTAAACTCATTGTTCTCTAAAAGAAGACCCAGCTGCAGAACATGATTTAATTTTGTTTTTCTCAAGTTTCACTGTTTTATCGTTTTCTGCTGCTCCTGCAAACAAGAAACAAGTCCTGGAGAGCCAGGTCCACCAACTGAACCAAACGTTTTCCAGCATCCGCCTTCTGCCGTAACGCTCCGTAAATAAAAACACCCACGTTTTCAAGGATAAACTGTGAAGAGACGTTTGTGGACACAAGAAGAACTTGTAGAAAAGTTTAAACCGGTGAAGATTTAGTGACTTGATTAGTAAAATCAGTAAACTCTGTGTTCAGCAGCAAAGACAAAGTTCTGAAAGCAGTCGGGGAAAGTCCAACTTCCTGTGACCCGTTTAAACGATGGTTCTGAAGCCTGGAGGTCCAAACACGCCTGGCTTTGTCGTTCACGTCTGTCGGGCTTTTCTTCAGTTTTTAGTCAGCTTGGTTTCGGCCGCTCGATGTGTCGGATCTTATGGTTCCTGGTGGAAACGATGCGTTTTTGTTTTTCTGACACCGAGACGTGAGTTAAAAGTCACAACGTAAACAGCTGTTGTTGTTGTTGTTGTTGTTGTTGTTGTTGTTGTTGTTGTTGTTGTCATGCTCCTCTGCACCAGCAAGAGAGGAGAGGGCTCTCGCCTGAAGTGAGGCCCAAGTAGAGCAGGTCGGTCTCTGGCGGTGGTCTGAGTGGATACCCTGCTCTGAGGCGGTCCAGACCTGTATTTAGACACACGTTCATGTCGCAGTGAACCGGCTTCTTTATTCCAAACTGAACGCAGCAGCTGGGAAGCTGTTTGTGATCTTTGCTTAATGCTCCGTGATGTAAGAACTTACGTTCAGTACCAGAACTCAGACCCAGCAGGAGCTCCAACCCGTCTGTCTGGTTCTGGTTTCAGATCCGCTCTACTTCTGGCAGCAGACGTCAGAAGACCTCACCGTCTGTGTGCGGATCCCCGAGGGCGTCACCCGAGAGGACGTCCGGTTCCAGCTGACGGCGGACCACCTGAGCGTCGGAGTTCAGGGGTTTCCCCCAATCCTGGAAGGCCAGCTGTACGGGTCCGTGGAGCCCGAGGCCAGCGCCTGGATCATCAAAAACAATAAAAGGTCAGAGGTTCAGGAGCTTTGCACATCTCGTTTCCAGCAGCTTTTTCTTGATCCTGTGGCTGCGGAGAGGAGACACTCGAGACACTCGACGCCCCTGAACCCGAGCTTATCGATGGAAAACATCCGAGTCAAAACACGCCGATGATAAATATCAACAACTGCTTCAGATCGGCCCAGATTCATTCCTAAAGTGTAATCCAGTAGATTAAATCATAATCTGATGGCTGCCAAGGTGGGTACAACATGGGCAGAGCTAAGCAACTAAATATTAACAGACAAGAATACAAAACCAACGTGCACGACCTTCTGCACACAAACATTCACAATTCAGAGAGACTGCAGCGAAAGATTCATGTTTTCTCTCAGTTTTCTGTCTCGTCACTATCTAATCTCATCTAGTCCCCATTTAGTCTCTGTCTAGTCCCCGTTCAGTTTCTGACTGTTGCAGCTCAGAGTTCAGTTCAGTTGGGCTGCGATTGATCCAGACCCTGAGGGTTCATCAGGTGATCAGCTGATCCAGACCCTGAGGGTTCATCAGGTG